GGCTCGCCCGGTGAAGATCCGTCGAAAGAAGTCTACGTGATCCATCGAGGAAGGCCTCGCAGACGGTGATGAAGCCTACAAGGTGCAGCACCCTAGTCAGATTAAGGTGCTGCAGCTCTAGGCCTCACTCATTGAGGAGCCTGCGCAAGAACCAGTGCGCGGGGTATCCTAGCCCGCGCTCATGGAAGGCGAGGAAGGAGATGACCTCGCTGGCCTGAGGTCACGAGAAAGCCTCCCCTGCGGGAGCCCTCCAGTGCGCCACCTCCTTCGGTGGAAGCAGTCCCTTCTTGGCGAAGGTAGCCAGCACCGTCTCATCCACGTTCGATGGACTCCAGCTCGACATTGTGCTCCAGATTCATGAACGGATCTATGAGTTTCTCCTCTCCCTCGCTCTCCCCTTTTTTCTCCTAGGAACCACCGTGGCACACAAATGCTCTTGGCGAGAAGGAAGAAGGAGGAGAGGCGGTAGTTGGGGAATAGGCAAAGGAACGGGACGAAGACCCTCTCCCTTCCCCTATTTAAGGAGGAGATGCAGCAGTTGGAGAAAGGCGAAGGGTTGGGGCAAAAAACCCTCTCCCTTCCCCTATTCAATGCAGATGGGAACGCGATGGGAGGCGTCCTGACCGATGGGATGCGCCCTGCCCGACAAGACGGCGCCTGGTTAGATGGGACGTGGTCTGGGCATGGCCCACCACTACCGCACGCCGGGCGCAAGAAACAAGATGCAACCGCACGAAGGCGGCCCTCTGCCTTCCCAGGCAGGACCTAGAAGGGCCCAACGATGGGATCTCCGCCAAGGAGAAACCAACGGGCTTCCTGAGTTGATCGGACGGCTCAGGCGAATGCCGAGAGACAGGTAAGGAGCAAAGGGATGCCCCATGTGGGCCATATCGACTCCATAACGAATGACGAGCACGGATCCCATTTGGACATATCTGATAAAAACTCCTCAAGCCTGTCACTCAAGTCATCGAGGTAACTATACCAATCCCTCTTACTTTATTTTTTTGATGCATGATCATTCATTCATCCATTCTCATACACGCATTCATTCATACAGTCATTCATTCATCCCATACAAACGAAACATCGCATATGTAGTTAAATGCATCACAATACTCCGTGTTGCGTCACGAAGCGGTAGTTGCCTCATTCGACATGAGCAACAACCGACCGAGGTTCGAAAGCTGGCTCGCTAAGGGCACGAGGCCGCCTCATGTCAAATAGAGCAAGGGGAGAAAACACAGATGAGCCCCAACGACCCTCGCTCGATCTACTCAGAAGCAAACAGGGTCATCCCAATCTTCTCGTTCGATCCTAACCTCGAGCCATGCCCATAGAATCTCCATGAGGGGAGGCCAGCGGGCCACCTGAGTCGGTCTCTGGAACAACCCGAACATCTGCTAGGACTCGGGTTAAGGAGCAGTGGAATGCCACACGAGGGCTATGCCGACCCCGTCACGAATGACGGACCCGGATTCCACTCAACGTCCCCGTTAGTGAGCTCACCGAGCGCGTCGCTCGAGCCATCGAGGCAAGCAACGTTAGCTCAGCCCCTCCGGTTGCGGAAACCACGGACGGGGTAACGTATGGAACTAGACCAACCCCTACCGAGCCCAATGGGGCTCAGGGGCTCAGGTCGCCCGACACTGACTCGGAAAACAACCGACCGCACAGGTCGTGGGTGGGACAAACACGAGCAAAAACCCTTGAACGACAGTTTGCGGCCCCAGGAAAGAGCACCAAGATGTTCAGCCTCCAACCGACTCACCAGTCGAACACAGGCTCATGGGCTACACGCAGGTGCGCTCACACGCACCTGCTATCAAAACGAAGAATTCCCCCGCTGTCAAAAAAACCCAGACGATACTACCCGAATCACCCGGGGCTCGGGGGCTACACCCACGGGTGTGCTCGCACGCACCCGCTGTTAAAACAAAGAATTCCCCCGCTGTCAAAAAACCCCCCAGACGATTCTACCCGAATCACCTGGGGGCTCGGGGGCTACACCCACGGGTGCGCTCGAGCGCACCCGCTGTCAAAATGAAGCATTCCCCCGCTGGCAAAACGAAACACCCCCAGACGATTCTACCCAAATCGCATGAGGGCTCGAGGGCTACACCCGCGGGTGTGCTCGCGCGCACCTGCTATCAAACACGAAAAATCCCCCAGACAATTCTACCCGAATCGTCTGGGGGCTCGGGGCTCCTGTCGGGTTCATAAACCCAGGGTCCCTCATGGACCTGCTTCCCAGCAAAAAGCTCGGCCCAGCAGAGTACGTTGCAAATGACGCGTAACTCCTGGGCCAGCCCAAATACCTAACGACAGGCTAGAAGGACGATCCAGTCTCCGACCGGAAGGCCTGACCAAGGAGGAATGCCTCTCGGTTCAGACTCCGACCCGCCTCTCCGACCAGAAGGCCTGGCCAAGGAGGAACGACGCTCGCTTCCGACTCTGGCCCGCCTCTCCAACTGGAAGGCCTGGCCAAGGAGAGGACGATGCTCGCTTCTGACTCCGGTCCGCCTCTCTGATCGGAAGGCCTGGCCAAGGAGGAACGGCGCTCGCTTCCAACCTCGGCCCGCCTCTCCAACCGGAAGGCCTGACCAAGGAGGAATGGCGCTCGCTTCCGACTCTGGCCCACCTCTCCGACTGGAAGGACACCGAACCTCTACTTATAGCTCTTCTCCGACCGGCACGGTCAGAGACGACTGGGAAACGACCGAACAGGGACGCCCGCTCTGTAAGGACCCAAAGAATTAGGCAGAGCAAGTAAGGCAGGACTCTCAAGTCAACCACAATACCAAGGACCATACCTTGCACACCTGCAGGACAGTACTGTCAGGTCATCTCAGAAGGGCATTTTATAACCTTCCAGACATGTCAGAACACCAATAGTATTGTGGGCGCCGACATTTAACCTAAAGGATGGTAGGCGTCGACATTTGCCGTACCAGAAGAACACGGTGGAACCAACCACATGCATCCAAGCCATCAACAGTATTGTGGGCACCGACAAACCATCTCGTACCCGACAGCGTGGGCAACAAGACTAGGTAGCACACACTCCCTCGCTCTCACTTGTAAGGCCGTTCTCTTCATCTATAAAAGGGGATGCGCTCTCTCCTAAAAGAGGAGTCGAAGTACCATCAAACGATTCCAGCGAACAACATACGGATCATTCTGATTCTCTCTGCTCGGCTCTAGAACTCTAAAGCTGAATAGAGCAACACTTAGCGCACGTCGAGGCTTCCGTCACTCTTGGCCCTTCGGTCCAGAGTCCGACCGAACCTCTGATACTCCCCATCTTACTCCCTCTCGTTTGTAACCCCACAGTAAACTTCGAGAACTTGGGCTCAGGAATAAAGTCACCGACCGACTCGAACTGGACGTAGGGCACGTTGTCTAAACTAGTATAAACCCTGTGTCATTGAGTGCTAGGCCACATCTGATCACAACGTACGACAAAACGACAAATATTTACTAGTTGGTCACTTTTCGCACCGACAAAAGGGTATCTTAAGATCTGTACCGTTGGATCGGGATCGGACAGCGTGGATTAGATCAAGAGGAGGAGAGAGAGCGCGGTCGCCGACAAAGAAGGCCGACGCGGCGACTGCCATAAACAGTGACGAGAAGCCGACCGGCGCACATGAATCAAGGCCTACGAACCACCATTTGGTGAACCAAGAGCACGGGAGAGAGAGCGGCACAGCGAACACGTTGGAGGGATTGGAGGGGCCTACGACGGCACGGTGGCGAGCTCACACACGATTCGGCGGCTCAGAGCTCCAATGGAACTTTGGCGACGCGGCACAAGCGACAGAAAGCGTAGAAGAAGGAAAAGCGGGTACCGGGGCTTGCTTACCTCGCTTAGAAGCTCGACAAGGCAGTCGCGGAGGCGGAGAAGCGGCGGCATGGCAAACCGACGGCGGTGGCGGATCTCTGAGCTCACGGCGGCGCTATTTTAGGGCACGGGGCGGCTACGGCTTGCTTCCAAAGCTGGACGAGGAGGCGGCGGGTGCAAGGCTCGGTATTTATGGGAGGGCCGTGCGTGGAGCGCACGCCAAGACCGGGACGCGGCGGCGGGGCGGATGCGGACTCCATGCGCGGGACAGTTCGGCTCGGTGACGAGAGGAAAAGGATGACCCCGACAGGTGGGTCCCACCAGTCAGCGAGACAAGGAGGCGGGTCCGGCTGACAGACAAAGACAAGGAGGCGCGCTTGCGGGCTTCCGCTGCTGGGCCGACCTGCTGGGCCACTGCGGAGAGAGAGAGCAGGCCGCGCGGGGAAAGCGGCCGCGCAGGAAGCCAGGCCGAGCTGGGCTGCTCGGGCCAAAATCAAGGGAGGGAGAGAAGAAACAATAAAACTCCTTTTCTATTTTCTTAACACAATTTCAAATCCAATTTAAACTCAAATTCAAATTCTTTTGCAAATTCCAGTCAAACCAAAGCATCATAAAATAAATATGCAGCAGCATGGATGTACATACATGTATATAGACCTATATTTGATTTTATCTTTAATAAAGTTATTATTTTCCTAAATTTAAATGCTCACAAAAAAAACATAATTAAATTATTTCTCCTATTTTAAAATCATGCAAATTTTATACGCCTCGAAGTGCTAGCTTCTTGAGCATGGGGAACTGAAGCGCCTGGGCGATGTCATCAGAGAGGTGGCATTGGCTGAAAGTAGCGACGCAAAGGCACGACGAGAACTGGAGGGTAGATGCTGGCTGAGGTGGCAGTTTCGACATATCCTAAAAAATGTAGGGGACCCAGCAATCAATCTCTTGGAGATTGTCGAGTGCGCGGGATCGGAGCCATGCATCCACAGTGGCAGGGTGGTCCTGTAGGTGTTGTGCGGGGAAGCGAAAGTGGCGGCCGGGGCCCCGGTGGGCGGAGAGGATGCGGGAGACGACATCGATGGGGGAAATGTTAACGCCGTCGAGGTTGAGAGGGGCGGAACGCCAGAGATGGCGCCCACCGGGTGGCGAGGATTCAGGTGCGGGCGGCATCCTTGGTGGGGAGGAGAGAAATTACATCACCCAGAATGGCGTCCGGAAGGCTGCTGATTCGGTCGACCCCATCTTCTTCTTCTCCACCAGCTCCAGGCGGCGGATCTTGGATGTAGGATTCGTCTCCTCCAGCTCTAGGAGGATTGGAATCAGGCGCACTCATCGCCGGTAGTGGCGAGATGTTTGCTTCGCCCTCCTGTTCCGAGCTCTTGGGTGTCTCCGGCTTCCTTCTCTTGGCACGGCGAGCCACCGCCAGAGTCTCCATGGCCGGTGGGGTGATTGGGGAAGGGGAAACACGGCTGGCTCAAGAGCATTGCCCGCCGCCACGCATCTCAACCTGACGAGGTCGGGTGCGCAGCATGCACCGTGCAGCATCCAGGCCTCCCGTTTCCGGCCCATAGGCCCAGCCCACCTTCGTTAGGCCTCACAACCACATTTCGAATACAGCTCCCATTTCTCAAAAAAAAAAAAAATACAGCTGCAGCACAACAGGGGATTGGTAGATGATGATCATGTTCCTCAAAAAAAAAAGATGATCATGACTTCCCCTCAAAAAAAAAGATGATGATCATGACTTTGCGCTTGAACTAGTAGGAGAAATGAAAACGATATAGAATCAGCATGTAATTGGGTCGGAGTCATTTATTATTTCCTGTTTTTGAGATTCGGGATGATTTATTATTATTCATTTGAACCCACAACCTGTTTCTATTGCACGATAATCTTTCCTTATTTTTCTAACTAGCACACATGTCCATACATCGCAACGGAAGGAAAAAAAAGCTATCAAATGTTAATGGAAAAGGGGATAGGAATGTTACATATTTATTTATCTCTTTTTACCTTTTTCCTAAGTTGGGATAGCCATGTCGTCTATAATATAAGTTAATGTTTCAATAATATATCCTATTAATTCTATCTCAAATTAAAATACGGACTTGATAGATATACGCACCTAAAGTGATTTGTGTGTGGCTAGCGTCTAAGGTGATTTCTTACTCTGCACCTCGTTGCTCTCGTGCGTGAATTTGTCTAGACTAGATTCGTTACTATCTTCTACTCCTACTGATTGGGAAATTCAACTAGGTGCCTGGGATTGGAGAGAAAAAAGAGATCAATGAGATGCCAGAGATCGACTGGGTGCGGTATCCATCGGGGGGCCTATTTTTTTTCATTTTTAAAGAGTTCATTATTAATAACTGTTGTGGAAAGAAAATAAATTCTCTCCCTACTCCCTTTTAAGAGCTGAAATAATCTAAAATTTGAGAAGTGAGCTGTTGGAGATACTCTTATATTTACAAATAATAATCTACTAATTCTTTCTTTGGATTCTCCTAAAAAAATCTCTCTAGATTGTATGGACTTTTTCTGCTACTTGTTGGGTCTTCACTGATTTATTCTCCAACTAGAAAATTCGAAATCCTTTATCACCCCCAAATACTTGAAGCTCCAAATGTGCATTGGCCGATTCATCCCACTCCTATATCAATCTAGCCTTTCAATCTACTCCCTCCATCCCAAATTGTAAAACGTTTGACTTTTTTGACCCCAAGCTTAACCACTCGTCTTATTCAAAAAATTTGTGCAAATATAGTCAAATTTAAGTCATTCTTGAAGAATTTTTATTAATAAACCAAACCACGACGAAAGAAGTGATATTTTACTCAAATTTTTGAATAAGACGAGTGGTCAAACTTGGTGTTAAAAAAGTCAAACATCTTACAATTTGGGATGGATTGAGTATCATTTTAGCTTGGAAAAAAGTTCATTCCACCTCCCTTAACTATTACGCAAGTCCGATTTACCTCTGTCAACTAGATAATCGGATTTTTAAACTACTTCAACTCTCGAAACCGTCCAATTTACCTCTCTGACCAGTTTTGGAAAGCAGTTTTGGCTGACATGGCGTCATGTCAACCACGATAGAGGTAAATCAGTCTTCCACGAAATATTTTTTCCTAGAATAAATATGCATTTAAAAGTACTAAAATCTAATTTAATATTAAAAACCATAGATATGAATCCATTTTCATATTTTTTTAGTACAATCATGCTGGTTCCTATGAGTTAGACATCATAATATAAAGAAATAGGGAGGGGGGGCTTGGGCTAAAAAAAGATTGAACATGTGGTTTCGAGTTTCGATAACTTCTTCCGCTTTCATTTCCTCTCCTCCGTCTGCAAAATCACTAAGTTAATTCAAAAGTCCTGTTAGATCACATAAAGGCACTTGCCGCTAAACTAAAATAGGATTAAATACGCCCCGCCCCCTTTTGAGATCTTCATATTGAAACAATAGTAGCACATGCTCATACTCAGCCCTTTCGAGCTTGAGCACGGCTGCAGGCGATCCCATCGGATCCTTTGCGCTAATTCATGGCACCTCCTGGAAGTGGTCAGTGCATCCAGGTAATCCTAGTTGGGCGAAACCACCTAAAAAACAAGATATAGATCCTTCCCCATTCTCCGTAGATCTTGATAAGCTGCCCGGAGAATAGAAAGATTATCCATTCCTTTAGCGACAAGCATAAGAAACCACCAAACTAAATTTTGGGCAATAAAAGCATCTTCAGCAGACTATCTAAATGGACTACCTATCTCCCATTTAGGTAGTGGGGGCAAGAAATCCAGCTCCAGCAGGCTACCTACTTGACCCAACAAATTTATTGGCTACCTAAATCCCTCCTCCCACTACCTATTCCTGTTGGGCCAAGCAGACTATCCAAATCTTCTCTCTCCCACCCACGCGCCTCTTTCTCTTCCCTTCGTGCTTGCCCGTTCGCTCGAGCGGACCTACGCGGTGGTCCTCCCCGGCGGTGCTCCAGACCAGATCCAGACCTCCCCAAGCGCAGCAGGCTACCAGGCGGTGTGAGCATGACGGGCGGAACAAGGCAGCGCGAGGCCGACGACGCGAGCCTCCCCTGGCATGCCAGGCACGACGCGAGCCCCGGCGGCACGCATCCCCTTCCCTGCGTGGCCCTCCCCGGTGGCGCGGCGGCCTGCCCCGGCACGCTAGCTGCCCTTGGCACATCTCCGGTCACCTCCAGCTCCATCCATGGCGAGAAGGAGGATGACATGGGGACCCACATGTCATTTTCTGTTAGGATGAGTTTGGGTAGCCAGTTTTAGACAGTATTGCAGGAGTTGGGAGCAAAATTTAGGTAGTATAAAAATGGGTGGCTGCCTAAAGAGAGAAATAGATAGTCTGTTTTAGGTAGTATTGCTGGAGATGCTCTAAGCTAAATTTATTAAGACCAGTTTAATAATTAATTAGCCTATTGTGCTAGCAGCACAACTAAAGAAGATCAAATAGAAGTACATTCAAATAGAAGTGATATCTTGACACTAGCTCTACTTTATTAACCAAGACTATAACAACATTACATGCAACCAACCACCTCAAACATTGCTAAAGCTGGAATCGAAACCTAAAATCAAAAAGCTTTCCTACTAGAGCTCGATATAGCCCAAACTTTTGACAGACTAGAATGGAATTTCATCAACACTGCTCTTCTACGTAAAAGGTTTCATGGTCATTTCATCAACCTCATCCAATCATGCAAATCCACGACTTCCTTCTCGGTCCTTGTGAATGGCCAACCTTCTGAACCTTTTAGAACACAGCGTGGCATTCGCCATGGATACCTTCTGTCGTCTTATCTTTTAGTCATCCCAATCAATAAATTGTCCACTAGGTTGCAGAACAAAATGCATCCTAACAATCTTTAAGGAGTCTCCTTATGCCTGACATGCCCATTGATCCATTCCCTTCATTTTGCACACATGACCTGATTATTTATGGCCACGCTTCTATGGTCGAGGCTAATGCAATCCGTCACATTATATAAGAATTCTGCACCGTTACTTGCCAGAGTTCAAATCTTCACAGATCATCCATACTCTTCGGTGCCAAAGTGGGCACTGCTACCAAAAATGAAAAAAAAAACATCTTCCCAGTAAATGATCTGCCTCCAGACACCATGCATCTTGGACATCCTATCCTCTTCACCCATCAAGAGGTTCTGGTTTTATCCTAAATAAATTTAGAGCCAAACTCACTACTGTCAAAGCAAATAATAAGCTCAACCAGACTAAGTGTGTGTTTGGTTCTGAGACTTCTTGGGATGGGTTGGATCCATCCCTAATTTTTGGAATTGAGATCCCTGCCACATGCCCCCCGCGCCGCTTGTGCTCAGCCCAGGCCTGGCCATCCGCGAGGTCGCCCCACGCGCCGCCGCCCCACGAGCACAACCCCACGACGCTCGCGAGCTCGCCCCACGCGCGGCCGCCCCACGAGCACACCCCGGCGCCGTCCCGCAGGCTCGCCCGGCAACCATGCCCTCTGATTGCTGTGCGTCGGCGTTGGCACTCGTCCCTCGCGTTGCGGCCCCATGAGCCCACTGCGGCAACGTCCCCTGGCTCGCCCAGCGTCCACGCCGCCTCCTTGCACGCCTACCTCCTCCGCCGCCACCGTTTGCTGCGCGTGGCTGCCCCACGAGCTTGTCCAGCCATCGCACTGCCACAGGGCCGGCCCTGATTTTTTTGAGGCCCGGGGCGAAACCACAATCCGGGGCCCTTTATACATGCATGACATTGACAGTACTAAATGTAAATACATATATATAAACACTTAACTGTGGATGCAATAGCAATATTTATATGGAACAATTCATAAATATTAAATTACCTTAAAAATTCCTATATTAAATTACCTTAAAAATTCCTTCTAACATTCCTCGATGCGAAGTCATTGATGATGGTATCAATATCGATCTCATCCAACAATCGCTTCTCAATGCATAATGTTGCCAAACCATTTAACCTCTCTTGAGACATTGTAGATCTCAAATAGTTCTTCAACAATTTTAGTTTTGAGAAGCTTCTTTCAGTGATGCCACGATCCACAGGCATAGTAAACAAGATCCGATAAGCAATGGAAGCATTAGGATAACAATCATCAGCCTTTGTAACAAACTCAAAAATCTCCATAGTGTCATGGGTGTATCTAAAATCAAAGTGAATTGTAGAACACTCAACTCGAGAAATCAGATCATTTAAATCAATGTCGATGAACCATTTAGAGAAAAAATCTCGCTAGTGTTGTGCAACACAACTCTGCTAGCTCAGGACCATCCAATGCCTTTAAGTTTCCTGAACTCATTAAAATCCAAATAATTCTCTGAATGATTCCAATTCTTGAAATCTAGTCTCCAATGAACGGACTGCCATATCAATTATAACCGTGAAGTAACTAACTTTAAATTC